TTTGAGCCTGACAAGTATGTTGAACCAACTGCATTTATGCACTGGGAAGCATTTTGTGGATCTCCCAGTCAGAACTTTCCGATCCTAAGTAGATAGAACGTCCTAAGGCTGTGTCCGGCGACCTTAATTTACGGGTCAGACAACTTTGCTTTAATGAGACGAATAAATACGAGTTCTCTAAATTAAAATAATGTGTTTTCGAGCGTTTGTCTAGGACCTTTTCTTGAGTCACTTTAACGACTCAGGTCTGCACAACTAGTATTACTATAAATTTAACTGTGAAATTGGATTTTTGTGACGGGCAGTAGCCTGTTGTCCAATATAAGTTAACAAATTTCATTAGCAACACAACTTGCCACAATCTCAGCAGGGGTATATCCGACCGCAATGGAGAAGAAAACGAGCCCGCGGACGAGGGCCTTGGCTGGTGTTACGCCTGGGATTAGGTATGGTTGGCTGATGACGGCCAATAAACCAGAAATGGCCATCTCAGTTGCCCCGGTATTTGTCGGTTATGGTATTTTGCCTCAAATACATAAGCTGTACGGCTGCTGGTGAGGCTCGAGATTGAGCTCCATGACACAACGGGACGAGTGTGTTCTGTAACTGATAGGCGAATATCCATTCATCCATCAACGTTAATATTCCTGATGGAAAGTTGAATGACGAAACCCCGAGATCTGACGTATAACCATATCGGTCGTTCGATTGTTAAGTGAGTTAACATCAAAAAGACACAAGTTCAGCTGGACCAACGAATACCAAGCGTCATTCGATGATTAGAAAGGCGCCTTTTAAATCGTCACAAAGTTTGCTGACGACGCTGTGAAATAGCGGGCGTAAGTCGCCCATAAATACTTATTTTGCCATCGATATTTCAGTATATTTCGGATAATAGGCGTTGTCTTCGAAATGTCTATCTGGTAGTTAGATTTTTGACTCAAAGCACTGAAGGAGGAAACTTCAAAGAAACAATCTGTACGATTGTTGGCGATCCGCTAGTAATAAATACCCAAAAACCTCACAAAAAGTCTCCGGTTCATGTACTGCGAACCCTGTTATGTTATTAGTTAGAACAGATAAAATCCACGACCTTGCTCAAATGACGCGGAAAATAGCATAGCATCTGGGCTGTTTATCAAGAAGGCATCTCTTGTATTGAACATTGAAACATGCAAACGTTTCTGAACCATGGAGCCTAAAACTGACAGAGCACTGTCATCGTCGCGGATGTCCATGCTGCTTCTGACGTATGAATATACGGCCCAAGGAAAATCAAGATCCAGGGGTTTCTCCCCCACCTAAACCCAAATGACGGCTCAGTACGCGATTTCTTTGGTAAATACGATGTGGTTGTCGGCCTCTCGCATAAGGTGAACTATGTACTGATTGAGTGGGAACCAGTCCACGACTAAAGTTTCATTATAAAAATATCGCTGATGTCCATGTCTAAGCGTCAACAGCACCCACTGACCAGTGTGATAAAGGTACCCTTTACTTACAGTTGCGAGAAGTTCTTGAAAGGCCTCCGTCACGATGGTAGGCTAAATGTTGCGTAAAACTGGAATTACTGAGATGGACTAGGAAACCATTCAAACAGTTATCTTATCGGCTGTTTTGAGCTTGACCATCGACGACAGTCATAGAATATCAGTGACACTAAAAAATTATCTGCCAAGTTATGGTATACCCTCACAGTGAATGAATCTGCTGGTGGTTTTGATTGCAGCTTTAATGCGGAAACCTCGGTCAAGGACGAACGCTGACATGAGCACTTTGAGCATTTTCTTAAGTCTTACTATCAACCCCTCGCTCTCTTTCTCCCCGCTGCAAAAAAACGTCTACCATTCTCCAGCTTGTAAAGTGTTAGGTAATTATCCTTTTCAATTAGGTAATACATCTGCGGTGTCATATATGCCTACAGATTATATTCCTGCTGCTGCGTCAACCTCCCTATTCGCATAAAAATCCTCTCAAATTCAAGACGACACGTTAATAACTGTCGATTTACTGAATGACTCCATTTTCCGGCATGGGGTCCCACTCTTTACATACTACATTATTCTATACGAAATCAAATATACACAAGCCTTTTTGGACGGCAAAAGCTGAGATTCTGGATGTCACGTGCGCGAAGGTAGTAGCTCTTGAAGCCAACAAAGGCATAAACAGACGACGCAATTCGCTAAATATGTGTGTATTATGAGAGGAATACATAAAATTCAGATAACCGAGCAGAGATTCTGTCGAATTTAATGATCAAAAATAGTGCTATTGCGATAAATTCTGAAAGTAGTTGGACGGCATAAG